GTGACTTCAACGCCCAAGTAGATAAGAACTTTGAAGCCTGGAAAGGCAAGCATGGTGTTGGCAGCTGCAATGATAATGGTCACCTCTTACTAGAGTTCTGTGCAGAGGAGGTCTCTCTCTCTTACCATCACCAACACTATTTTCCAGCAGAAAGACAGCTGGAAGACAACCTGGATGCATCCTCGATCTAAACATTGGCACCTTACTGATTATGTCTTAGTGAGGTAGAGAAATGTTCATGATGTCTGTCACACCCGAGTGATGCCTAGTGCAGAATGCCAAACAGACCACCACCTTGTGTGTTGCAAGCTTAACCTCCACTTCAAGCACAAACCTAAGAGGGGCAGCATTCTGAGGAGGAGGCTCAAAGTTAATAATCTCCAAATCGCTGCAGTGAGGGACAGCTTTCAGGCTAACCTTCAAACTAGCCTTGAAGACCATCTTACACATTCTTCTCCTGAAGCGCTTTGGCAACATATTAAAAACAGCATCCTGCAGTCCTCTGTAGAATCCATTGGGTTCTCCTTAAAGAAAAACAAAGACTGGTTTGAGGATAACAACCAGGAGGTCCAGGAATTGCTGACAAAGAAGAGATCTGCTCATCAAGCACACCTCGCTCAGCCACTCTGCCATGTAAGAAAAGCAGCCTTTCATCTTGCATGTAGCAAACTCCAACAGAAACTTAGAGACATCCAGAACAAGTGGTGGGTCAACCTAGCAGAAAAGACTCAATTATGTGCAGATTTGGGTGACCACAGAGGATTCTGTGAGGCTCTGAAGGCAGTGTATGGACCCACATACCAGGTTCAAAGCCCCTTACTTAGTGCAGATGGCCAAACGCTTCTTACAGATAAAATCTCCATCCTGAATCGTTGGTCTGAACATTTTCAAACCCTCTTTAGTGCTAACCGTGTAGTCCAAGGTGCAGGAATCCGGCACATTTTACAACATCCAGTGAAAAACAAATTGGATATAGCTCCTACCATGGGAGAGACTGTTAAGACTATACAGCAGGTGAAAACTGGCAAGGCAGCTGGGGTTGATGGGATCCCACCTGAAATATGGAAGCATGGAGACCAAGCACTTCATGCTAAATTTCATGAGCTAGTTGTGCACTGTTGGAAACAAGGTAAATTACCATCAGATTTCCGTGACACAGTCTTCATCAGTCTGTGTAAGAAAAAAGGCGTAAAGTCAGACTGCTCAAGCTACCGAGGCATAACTCTGCTCTCCGTTGCTGGAAAAATCCTTGCAAGAATACTATTGAACAGATTAGTACCCGCTATCACAGAAGAACTTCTACCTGAAAGTCAGTGTGGTTTCAGAGCTAATAGAAGTACCCCAGACATGGTATTTGTTCTCAGACAACTGCAAGAGAAGTGTAGAGAACAGAATAAGGGGCTCTATGTAACTTCTGTTGACCTCACCAAAGCTTTTGACACTGTGAGCAGAAAAGGCCTGTGGCTGATCTTGGAATTAGGTTGTCCCCCCAAAATCCTCATTTTTCTGTTCTCATGTATTCTGTTACATGAGGGTCAGTGTGGCTAAGTCAGATATGGCGATGCACTCTCTGAGCTCTTCCCAATAACCAATGGTGTGAAACAAGGTTGCGTTCTTGCACCGACTTTATTTACAATCTTCTTCAGCATGATGCTCCAAAGGGCTACGGTAGACCTCAATGAACTAAACAGCATTTATATTTGATATCATACTGATGGGAGCCTATTCAAAGGCGACTGAAGGATCAGACTAAGACCCTAAATCATCTTGTCCGTGAACTGCTTTTTGCTGATGATGCCGCCCTTGTTGCCCACACAGAAGCAGCTCTGCAGCGTTTAACATCTTGCTTTGCGGAGGTGGCTGAGCTTTTTGGGCTGGAAGTCAGCTTGAAGAAGACAGTAGTTCTCTACCAACCTGCATCACAAGAAGATAACCATCACCCCCACATTACCATTGGCAAGCCAGAGCTTAAGTCAGTTCAGCAGTTCAGCTATCTGGAAAGCATTATTTCCTTGAATGCCCCGATCGACAAAGAGATAGACAACAGAATAGCAAAGGTATATAGAGCCTTTGGAAAACTCCATAAAAGAGTCTGGTGTAATAAACACCTGAAGAAAAGTACAAAGATCAGTGTCTATAGAGCCATTGTATTGTCTACTCTTTTATATGGGTCTGAATCATGGGTCATCTACTGTCATCACCTGTGACTCCTCAAACGCTTTCATCAGCACTGCCTCCGTACAATTCTAAACATCCATTGGACTGACTATGTGTCTAATGTTAGTGTCCTTGAACAGGCAGGGGTCACCAGTATCGAGGCCATATTGCTGAAATCACAGCTGCAGTGGGCAAGGCACGTCTCCAGGATGGAGGATCACCACCTCCCTAAGATCGTGTTTTACGATGAACTTGTCACTGGTCGCCACAAGAGAAGTGCCCCAAAGAGGAGATACAAGGACTCCCTGAAACAACACCTTAGCCTTGGCCATATTCACTACCATCAGCGGTCCACCTTGGCCTCCAATCGGAAGACTTGGAGACATACCATACATAATGCTGTTGACTCCTTTGAGAACACACATAGAATTAGTCTCGAGGAGAAAAGACAATGTGGAAAGAATCGTGCTTTGCCTATACCACTCGAGACCTTTCACTGTGCTTTTTGCAGCAGGATATGCCTATCTCATATTGGCCTTTTAGTCATCAGCACGCTTGTAGTAAGTGTGGGTAAAGCCCTTCCCAAATTGTTAGCGAAGTCAAGCCATGAATGAATGAGATGCTACCTCTCCTCTGTGCAAATTAGGGTGCTGCACCATGCACAGTAATGCTGCATCCTTATTTATGCCAGCACCAGTGTGTCTCAAACCCATGTGGATAATCAGAAATGCTTTTAGAAAACTCTCAAGTACCTCAGAAGACTTTTCTGCAGCTTCCTGCAGCTCCGCTTTGTCTTCCTGGGTACTTGACGGTTTCCTAAGCCTGTTTTGGACTATCAGAAATGTTTTGAGTGCCTCCTTAGCTGCAAACCAACGGCTCAATTTAATAGAACTTTTAATGACAGCCATTGGCAGGCAGGTGTGATTTTCCTTGCTCCCATCTCACCAAAAGCCAGACAGTCTAGAACAGGAGTAAATAAATGACCCATTAGTGCCAGCTGTCTATTTCCAACTGAGTTATCTTTCTTCTGTTTTATATTACTTTGGTGCATGGAGGGCTTTACTTCTGCTCTTAATTTCTCTGTCCCACTTATTTTAATATCCAGGTGTCACAACTGAACGACATACAGCAGTAGGTTTTATGCATCTACTCCAAACAGCCTGAGAAAACACTGACTCAAGAATCTGAGAGACATTTCTCTAAGGTCTTTGCAGCACAGAGCCCGAAATGCACATTTTGGAGGGGTGGCAGTTAGGGACTTGCCTGGCAATTCAGACACCAGAACAGCTGTTGCAGGTTCTGGACATTAAGTCACCTGAATACTCAATATTGTCCAGGTACTCTAGCTAGTCTCCTGGATAGACAGTATTTCACCATTGAAGATAAGGCCCTGTCTAGGGACAACACTTAGAAATCAATGTTACAGAGACAGGAAAATGACTGATCCCATGGGGTGCAGAAATACTTAGGAGGAATAGGCAAAACTGCATATGGGAATTCAGATCCAACTTGATAGTGGCAGGACCTCTACAAATCTTAAGTTCTTAGCCCAAGTCTGCAAGCATCTTCAGCATCATTTTGGTACCAGACTCCAATTAATATTCAGCAGAAATCTTTGTTCCTTACAAACCACTGAACAGAGCCAGAGGACTGCACCCAAGTCCATCTCTTACTGTACTGAGCCTTTACAACACTCATTCTCAGTGATTCTCTAACTTCACTTTTCCATGAGTTTCAGCATGTGTTTTATCTACTTGATATGGTTTCTGATACTGCCTTAGCTTTTACATCTAATCTTAAGAGGCTTTTTTACCTGCAGGCTGCTGTTTGCTAGTATGTGATATATTCACATGCACACACCTTGAGGCATTAGCCTAGCAACATAAAAGAAATGCTTTTTTGCAAAAAGAACTGAAATCACCAATGTGGTATACTCAGATTTTAATGATCAAAATTACCTTTGGCAGTTTTGCATGGGCTCCAAAATGAACCTGCTCCGTCTTTTTTTTGGAGGTAAGCCACTTCTGGCTTCAGTTATCACTTAGTTTTTTGTTGAGCTGCCTGGAAGAAAGTCACTGAAATGAAATGCAACTGTCTAGAGATGTATGATCCCTCAGTCTTTCAGATTCTTGAATTTGGAATAGAAACAAACAATGACTAAAATATTTTTTTTTTACCAGTCAGATGGTAATTTTATGATTCATGTTTCTGCAACTTGTCTTCTTTTTCTAAATGAAAGCTGTTTGGGTTTGTTGTTTTGTTTTGTTTTGGGTTTTTTTTGTCTGAGGTTTATTGTTGGTTTTGTTTGTTTGTTTATTTTTAATTATTTACTATGCCTCCAAATTGGTTGTGTTACTTTTGAACTTATCTGTATTTATCATACCTCAAAGGGTTAAGCACACTTCAAAGAAGGCGTGCATTGCAGAAGATGAGAAAACCCATACTGTGGCTGTATTACCTCTCTATTGTCACCTGTCACTAAATTCAAACTTTACTATTTGACTGCAAAGGATAAAGGAGAGGACAATTAAAGCCTAAAAAAGAAATGGAAGATGTGAATGCAGTATTTTTCTCACTCACACTTCCATTTCATGTCTTCATAACTATCATTTCATTCCCTGAAATCAAACCCATTTATGAGAAGCTGCACCTCAGCTGTAAAAAAAAATTCCTATCTAGAAACTTCCCCAATATTATCCTGAGTTATGACTCAAAAGCATCTCATTTCTTGTTCAACTGTCCTAATCTGCCTCCCAAGGGTAGACAGAGTGGCTGGCAACAGTGAAGAAAAATAAATGCTTCCCATAGATAAAAGTATGCATTTATGTAGGTTGTACTCACACTCGTCATCATCATCATCATCATCATCATCATCACAGCTGTTACTGCTGACAACAAAGAGCAGGTACTCTGATGAGTGGTCAGAGAATAGACTAATGCCTTCTCTGAGTTTATTTTCATGTGGTGGGACAGCTGATCCCGCTTGTAGCAGTCATTTTTCTCCTTGGTAGCTGGTGCAGTGCTGTGTTTTGACTTTCGGCCTGGGAACAGAGCTGGTAACACTGATGTTTTAGTCTGACCAAGGCCTTTCTGAGCCTCATGCTCTGCCAGGGAGGAGGGGAAGCTGGGAGGAAGCAGAGACAGGACACCTGACCCAAACTGACCAAAGAGGTATTCCATACCACAGCACGTCATGGCCAGGATGTAACAGAGGGTTACCCAGAAGGGCTAGGGACTGCCAGGGTTGGACGAGGTATTGGTTGGTGCTTGGTCGGGCTGGGGGGCGGTGAGTTATCGGTCACCTGGTGATGAGGTGTTGTATTCTCTTCCCTTATTATTTCCTTTACCGTTATTATTATTATTGGTGGCAGCAGTAGTGATTTGTGTTATGCCTTAGTTACTAAACTGTTCTTATCTCAACCCGTGGGATTTGCATTCTTTTCGATTCTCCTCTCCATCCCTCCAGGAGTAGGGGGAGGGAAAGAAGGGGGGGAGTGAGTGAACGAGCTGCCTGACTGGTTTTAAACCACACCGCCACACTTTTGCCACAGAGCATAACAAAAAGTATGCATTATTGTAGGAAGATCCTCAGTTCTGGTCAAATCCATAGCTCGGATGACTTGACCACAGCCATACAAGATGTGTGCTGAGTCCCTTCTGCTTCGACAACTGAAGCTGTGAATTATCTCAAAGTTACTTATACCCTGATAAGCTCTGGCTTTTAAATCCAGACTTTGTTTAGTTTCCTTTCCATTATTATCTTTTAATTTTCTTTGAGAGGCAACAGTGATAAAGTAAGCCTTGATGTTTTTCGTAACTCCCCCAAATTAGATGGTAGTCGTAACACGAAGAGATTTATTTTGTGTGTGCAGAAATGTTGTGGGAAGAAAGATGAAAGCACAGCAAATAGGCTCCTAAGAATGTATCTAGACTAAGCAGTCCACTTTTCTGAAAGGTAACAAAACCTCAGCCTTGAGCTCTGCAAGCAGATGCTAATAGAAGGATGAAGGACAAAAGTTTTTGCTGCCCCTAACTCCCTTTTTCAACCCTAATTACTGACAGACTGAAGACCACAGTTACTTGGCCAGTCACTTTCACTGTATTATCGTCTGGACTACGACAAGCATTTTGGACCAGTAGACAAAACCTGGCTTTTTGTAACAATGGCCAAATGACAGAATCTCACAGCAATGACCTTGTAGCAATAGATTTTTTGTGCTGGAGTAGGACCCGTAAAATTTGGTAGCATTTCCTAGTACAGGCAGTACTTGGGCTCAGCTATCTTGGGCTAGTCAATTCAACTTCTCTTATACCTTTGTCAGCCTCTATCTACCAACAGAATGCTGCAGTTATCTCATTTCCTTTGTCTTGCCCCTTCACAAAGAAATTTTTTTTTGTGTCAGGGAAACCGATGGCAAGGATGCAGGATCCCTCGCTGCAGGAGCTCACAGAATATCTTCAAATTAAAGTTTATTTGTTTTAACTGAAAATTATCAATGTATTCATTTCAGTGGAACCAAGCAGACTCTTTGGAATAGGAAGTTTGAAAAAAATTATCAAAGACCTTTAAAAAAGTAATTTCTGCCAAATATGGAACAGCTAACCTGTTCTTCTGCTTCAGACTCCACATGCGTGCACTGGGGCACTATGCTTTAACCAAGTCACTGTAAAACTGGGACCTTGTAACGACATCTTCTTCATCAATCACCACCATCTCAAATGTCCTCCATTTGTCCACCAGCTCAGAAAGATTAATCTGCCATCTAAGTATCAGAGCCTAACATAAAGTTCTTTTTGCTTCTGTAAGGTAGTACTGGCGGCAAAAAAAACCCAGTAACTTGTGGGTTTGCATGTGGGTTTTCTGGGAGGGACTTTGGGTGGGTTTTTCTCTTTTATTTTGCTTTTTTTGTAGGATATACAAAGAAAATATACTGCTAATGTTTTACAGATGTATTAGCTTTGAACTGCTGACAGATGCAGGAAGTTGGTTTTAGCTACTGTAATTAACTAGGATGACCTTCAAAACTCACAGGGCATTAGCACATGCTTTATTACTGCCCTCCATTCCAGTATTGCCCTCAGGATCACGTGATGTGGCTTTTCTCAGATTTGGGAACTGCTGCCTAGTTTTAGTTCCAGGAGAGATGGGAACCTTGCTTTTCAGCAGGAACTTAACTCGGGACACCACCAGCTCAGAAAGCAGACAGGTTCCTGTGACAAAAGCTTGGAATGTGAGCAAATGCCACAAACTGTGATGCGCTGCATGCCATGCAGCCAGCATAAGGTTCTCTAAGCTCTCTTCATAATTCTGGCCATAAACCCTTCATACGCAGACTGTAATCACCGTCATTCAGGGAATGAAACTCACCCTTGCACTTAAAACCCCCTGTCATCCTTTGACTTTGTGGCCTTGGGCAAATCATAGACTGGCAGTTTTTCACCCATAAAACTAGGTAGGTGATGCTTGCCTATCATCAATGACAAAGTAAGGATTAATTAGCTAATGTTTTCAAAAGCCTACCAATCAAACAATGAAGCATGGCAACACTACACGCAGTAATATTGCCTGTTGTTTAGCTGCTGATTGTGTCCCAGGAACAGGTCTCATAGAAAAGAGAGACACAAAAAGTTGAATTAAAAAATAAGGACGATGGAGGGATTAGTTTCAGACACAAGAGTTAAATTATTTGTTTTGAGGACTGGCATGTGTTGCCACTGTGCCTTTAACATGATAAGTGCCATGTTTTCTGTTTTCAGGATTTCTGGTGGGGGAGAGGATGAAAGGGTTTGGGAAGAGGAGCAAGGCAGGGTACAAGCAAAGAGGTGAGCATCCAAGCAGAAGGGCTGGGAGTACAGAAGCACATTCTGACAGAAGCCCTAGACTGCTTTCTCCTCTCATCATCAGAACATTTAGATCTTTGTGCCAATTACTTCTCCTCAGAGACAAGTGGTGTGACCTGCAAAGGCCTTTTAATGAAAACAGCATACTCCTCACACACACAACCCCCAGCTCTTCCACCCTCTCAAATATCCCCCTCACATCCTTTTGGCAGACAGCAAAAGACTTGTAGGATACAAAGTAGCTCTGCCTTGCCATGTGTGAAAAGTTGGTCTTAACTGGGAAACAGCATTTACAAGAAGGTGTGAATGTTGCAAGACTCAACACCAAGATCCCCTATTTAACTACAGAGGAGAGTATTTTCCCATGCTGCCTCTTAAGTGTACCTCAGGGTACTAACCTTGAGAAACCCATTACAAATAAGAGATCAGCAAAGCATCAACAGGACTTTTAGGGCTTTGTTATTTGTACCTGTTCACATACTGAAATTACCAAACACATCCAGCTATTTAAGTAGAGAGATGTGTCACATTTCCTGTCCTCAGCTTGTGTTAATTAATCCCCGCTGCACTTTTGAGCCTCTGTGGCATCTTCAGGTGCCCAGAGAAAGAGATCCTTTTCTGCTGTTGCTAGGGACATTTTGACGTTTATTTTTTTTTCCTAAAGCTGCATGGAAACACAAACTAGATCCTTCCTTGCTTATTTTTCAGTGAAAAAACAGAGAAAGGCTGTCTCAACTATCCATTCAGTGGTTATGACACTGACATTGCACAGGAGACACACTCAGATTCCTGGCCTGAATTAAAAAAGAGCACTGGATCAGGTTGCCCAGGGGCGTTGTGGAGTCTCCTACATTGGAGATATTTAAGGCCCGCCTGGACAAGTTCCTGTGTGATGTACTCTAGGTTACCCGGCTCTTGCAGGGGGGTTGGACCAGATGAACTCTTGAGGTCCCTTCCAACCCTTGGGATTCTGTGATTCTGTGAAACCTCCTACTTGTATCTTTCAGATCCCTGACAAAGTGCTCTTACATCCAGGCTCTGAAATTAGTATATGCATGTTTGTCTCCATCAACAGGATTTAACTAAATCAAGCAGTTAGTCCCAACAGGAGACTGAAACAGTGCCTCCCAGACCAGATCATAGAATGATGTGGCAACACCTGTATGTGTCCAATCACATGAGCACAAAAATCACATTTGATGAAACACAATTTTTATACCAACTGAACTGTGCCACTGAACTCACAGATCTGCTTCAAACTGCAGCAATGGCTTTGTGAGGCACTTTACTTCAGCTCTCATGAAGGGCCAGCACAGGCCAGCCTGCCATGCTTGCACTTCTTAGAGCATCATGACACTACACAGTTAACACTTCTAGTGAAGGATGAATGCATTGCACGATAAAATTCCTTCCTTTCTTCACCCATTTTAATCACTGCCCTAAGTAGTTAGGGCAGAATGTAAAACAAATAAAAATAAAATAATAAAATCTATTGCAGTTCTTTAGAAGGGGTTTCTTTTCATAATTAATGCTGTACACATTTTGAAAACATTATTTTTTGATGTTTTGACTACCAGCACACAAAATTCTACCATTCTAATGAGGCACAGACATGCAGTTTTCCAGGTATCGCTGATGAGTTCAGATGTCTCAAATCTGAGCATTGAGAAACATCTTCAATCATGCTGGGACCTGGTGAGATGAAGAAAGTTCCTGCAGGTGATCAGCCAAGGCAGATCTTAGCTGCGTCCCTCTCAGATGCTGGAAACTAGTTACTACTCTCAGGTTCTTAAAAATAAACAGAGTACATTTAAGACTTTAACTACAAAGTAACTTGGGTCAACGTTCACATAATTCTTCAAGCCACAGGTTCTCCAGGGTCTAGAAAGACAGTCTGAAAACTACCAACACAAAGAACAGCAATGAAAGCATGGAAATGGAGATTGCCACATCTGAGATACAAATGCACATCTACATGTAGTCCACAGGCAGCCCCAAGGGCAACCAGAGGACCAGAA